ATCCATAGCACAGATTGGGGGATACGTGGCTGGCTGACTGGCTCGCTGGCTGGCTGGCTGGCTGGATGAATAGATGAATGGATGTGTCTGCTGATTTTCTGTTTTGTGACGGACTATGAGAAACTGGTATCTCGGACCAATATTATCATAATCATAATTATCATCCTCATCATCATCATCATCGTGATCATTTAGCGAACCCAATCGGGGTAGCTATCCAGGCGCCAAATCGTCCAAATTCAAAGATAACTTGAGAAACAGGCTATCGTCCACCACATATTCGGAGGTTTTTAAAGTCTCCAGCTTTGTGAAACGTGGAGCCCCGAAACAGGCATTTCGCTCTCCAGTTGGACGTCCAAGAAATATGTTCTGTTCCGCTGTGGGATTAGGTTTGATTGTGTAGTCAACTGGTTTGCGAGCGGTCACATCCTGATGTTGATCCAGCATGGTGAATGTCAACTAGACAACGGGACGCGAAGGATTGATACGCATCAGTGAAGATGAATTGGAACGGGGGTTTCCGACAGATTGTTTATTTTGTGATGTCATCTAGTGACTGTGAGAACAGTTTGAGCCCCGATAGGATTCGAATCCAAGCGCGAAAGTCAAACTCACCTTTTCCAGCTAAGGTAAAAGTGTTTTTTTCGCAGTCTCAAGTTACATGCTCTTCTAATCATCCCACATACGACCATGATAACAGTAACTGGCACTTAATATCGTTCTAACGAGTAGTCATCTTCCTGACCGAATTATAACCGTGGTAGACTTGTGCTCAGCATTAGATTCCGATACGATAAGTTGCATATTGGCTGTAATGTTGGTGATCAAGCTGATGGTGTGTGTGCTTACATCACTTAACGGAGAAAACATTTATGTTATCTCATATCGATTGATTGCAAATAGCAAGCATCTATTGGTTACTATTCTGTTTCCAGATGGCAGTAGCTTACCTGGTTTGTGAATGGCCACGGGAGCAATGCATCGTTGTCACCGCGACACAAACAGACAAATACGGACATGAATTTTCCCCGTGCCTCTCCACTTCCAAATAGACAGACCGACATAGCCATACGGTAACCGCAACGATGTGTGTAGAAAGCCGGACTGTAGATAGTGGTCTGTTTACCCGATTTGGCCAGATTGAATTTCTCAGTGTAATTGTCAATTTTCCATGTGAATGCGGCTCCGAAGCAACGTTCCAGTCCGGTGATGCGTTTTGACTGTTGAGCCAGAACCGTCTTCAGCTCGGTGAATGATTTGGTCTAATGGTACAATGAGGAATTGGCAAATTGAGAAACTTACATGGGTCGAGAGTGAAAGTTATCCAAAACTGAGTTGTTTATTCTGTTAAGCAGTGAAACATGGCGTTCTGGGGTGAGGGTGGGCGTGAAACATTATAGATCACTATCATATCATGAGTTCGAAGCCAACTACAGTCAATCAACATTTGCACTTTCGTACATCCCTGTGAAAAGTTCAATTAGTTGCATCTGTTGGTTAACTCGGTCTGTCTATTGACTGGGAAAGAGGTGATGCAACGCGCTATACGGTTTACAAAAAGTGAACTCATATTCACTCTGCCCGATTTTTATTGCAGGACAGACGGAGACGATGGTTATTCGAGTTCACACTTGTCGTTCTCAACCTTGAACGTTCCGAATTGATAGACTCTGACCATTATCGGATCCTGATAGAGCACATACGTGTACATTGGCTAACTATCGTATTCTATGGACAGACTATAGAGTGATGGTCATTTGAAAATCTAATTCGACTGTAACCGAACGTGTGTCGCCTTGGAACAAAATCACGCACCGCCTGAGCACGAACCGCGTGTCCTCACGACACTTTAGTTTGCAGTTCCATACAACTGAAGACCGAGTTATTTTGCTCATCTCATAACTGTCTGTGTTCGAAATTTGCAAGCTGGGTACTAATCAAATTTGAACATTTCTGCACGGGGAAAAGGGTTTTTGAGTTGAAATGCTCCAGACGCCATAGGATTGATGAATATCTCATAAAGCATATACAAGATCTCATAAACAACCGCCAGCTATCGAGGTGTATTGTATATTTTAATTAAAATGTCAACTCACACACACTAGTCACCATATTGAACACATTTCATACAATGAATTACACATTTTGGACAAGTCTTAAACATAGATCCTGTAATCATTTCGACGACCAGTCCACTTTTACCTTTGCTGTTTCTGTTCCGTGCTTGTGTGAATTGTTTAGGGTTGACAGTGTTGTGAACTCAAGCTCAACCGGAAGAGAGAAAAATGGTGACGGTTTTGCAGTGGCTTGCGACCGACAGTGTAACATGCTCGAGATTTGTTACCACCTTTGGTTTGCCTGTTCCACATGTATACTTTCGCACGTTTGCAGGCATTGGTTGCTTGAGGCATTCGTTCGTGCATCCTTCTTTGTAGCATGGGTCCCTCCAGGATCTTTGATATCCGCAGACCGCTTTTTCAGCTAGGTCTTTTATCTTTGTTTAAGTCACTGCCACCTCCGGTGAGATAAATTCACTTTAAACGGTACATGAGTTCAGGGCTGCACCTTCGCTTGCTAAGCCTTTCGTTTTCAGATACTCTCGAGGGTGGTTAGGCCAAACTTCGGTACTTTCAAAGTATTATACACTTTCCCTTGACTGACCGTTTGTTCTTCTTGATTTATACCGGATGATCGAGAAGCACGGGAGAATTAGAGATCGGATCGCTGTCGCAGGTCGCGAAATTGCACTCCCAACTCCAAAAGGTTTCACGTCCCCGGAAACATGCATGTTCAGCCCCCACATAACCAATATGACATGACAATAAGAATCGAATCTATTGACAATGAAAGCATGTGATAGATAGGACAAGCAGAGTCCGTATCCAGTGTGTGTGTGTGTGTGTGTGTGTGTGTGTGTGTGTGTGTGTGCATCAAACCTGACCATTGACCATGTGGCTAACAGTTTCGATCGAAACTCTATTGTGATTCCAGCCTTCTAATAAGAGATGGCATTGTATCGTAATGTAATAAATACGGTAGGCATAGCACTACATTTAAGTGGAAGTAATCGCTGGTTGGGTTCGAAACTGACGAAGTTTACGGATATGAGAAGAAATTCGAACTTTACTGACTGACCAGATTTTGAATGAGACAGATCCAAGGAAGAATTGTATCAATTAAAAACCTAGGTATTTAATGCTCGGAATACTAGTTCAGAGTCAGTCAATACCGGTTCAGATGGGAAAGAAGAGCGTGATAACGCAAAGAGACATCCGAAACATTTGGAGAGATTAAAAGAGAGCCGGATGTGGCGGAAAATTGTTGAACTGCATCAAAGTTGTCCGAAAATTGTGAATGACTAGAACAATCGGAGAGGGCCTGAAATAAAGCCACATTGTCGGCGTATTTGAGGGGAGAAGAGAAGTTGAGGCGCTAACAGGCAAGTTTTTTATATGCTTAGAAGACAATAACTGCACCTTGAAGTACCGCAGAATTGTTCACCAATGGCCTGGGTTTCTTCCGACCAGACCTAGTACACTGAGTTCTCCCGGAGAAGTAATCGACAAACCAAGCTAATAACTGCCTAGGACAACCGAAGGTCTCCAGCTTACGAAGAAGAACAGAACAAGGAATAGAATCCAAATGAGCAAATGAGTAGTCCAGAAACAGTCATTCAAGGATTTGATTATTTTATGTATCTAGTGTGTATGTATTTGCTTTATACACAGACTGACGAGGATCACACGGCACCTCAATTGAGACTGAATGCGCATAAGAGCACGTTCTGCTATTTTAAGTGCAACAGAATTTAAAGCGATAGGACGGGAGCGTTTCGTTGGAACGATTGAAGGAGAGGGTTTGGTAATGGGAACAGTTTGGTATAGAGCAGATTTTTAAGGAATTGTTTAAGAATGATGTCAATATAAATCCCGGAGAGACTAGACCCCATAGTTCCATCGGGACCAACACTGCACGTGGTTCCTACGATAGGCAAAAGTTCAAAAGTTTCTTCTTTCGAGACGGCCTCTACTTGAGCGGTATGATCCGGAACAAATGGTGTGATGGCATCGTTTGGTGGGTGGATAAATGCTGCCTTAACCGTGTCCAAATCCATTGATCAATCCAGAATATTGGATTCGGTTCCACACAGCAATTTGATACCTTACCAAATCCGCTTACTATTGTAACTTGCAGAAGCTGGGCGTTGTACGACGCAGAGAAGCGCTTGGTCATGAGCCTTGGTGTAATGTTTGACAGCCATTGAGTCTCCAAACTTTCTTTTTCTTTTTTTTTAATTTTTACTTCCCTTTATTAAATACACAGTGATCCAGTTTTCAGGAAGGGGGAAGCGGCCAATCAAACAAGGCTGCCATGGGAGGAGTCAGACGGTGGTGGTGGGATTCGAACACACGACCCCCGAGGTGGTAATTCGGTGACGTTACGACC